GATGGATGGATGGATGGATGGATGGATGGATGATGGATGGATGATGGATGGATGGATGGATGATGGATGATGGATGGATGATGGATGGGTGGATGATGGATGGATGGATGGACGGATGGATGATGGATGGATGATGGATGGATGGATGGATGGATGGGTGGATGGATGGATGGATGATGGATGGATGGATGGATGGATGGATGGATGGATGGATGGATGGATGGCTGCTGGCACTTGGGAACAGGGGGAGCAGCGTCGCACTGGGGCTGTGTTAGGGCACCTTTGAGCCGGAGCTTTCAAGAAAGGCCGGCTGGGGATGGGTAAGATGGACAGAAAGGGGTGCAGGATTGCAGCAGGAGAGAGAGAGTTATTCCTGTCCCGTAGCCCCCCCACCTGCCCTTCTATCCCATCTCCCGGGGGCTGGCGAGTCCCTCGGCAGCCTCCTGTCCCCCTTCTCGCAGAGTCCCCACCGTGAGGACCCCCAAACCCATTGCGATCACCCCAGGGAGTCACCTCGCCTTACCCCAAGGCACGGGCTGTGGGAAGAGGAGAAGGAGGCACTCGGCTGGTCCTGGCTTCACCCCCTGAGCCCTCACCTGCCCCAGGTGTCCCCACGGGGCAGCGGCTGCAGGTGCCGGGGGTGAGCCACGGTCACGTCTCGCAGGTCCCCCCGCTCCCCGAGGGGGATTCCCCCTCTCCAGGAAGGGGCTGGCCACGAGCATCCCTTTTCCACGGTCTCTGGCTGCCTCTAGCGGCAAAGTGTCCTCCCTGCGGCCAGCGGGGACAGCGGGGACGGGGACCGGAGCAACCGAGATAGGGACCGGCATAGCCGGGATAGGGTCAGGAATGGGAACAGGGGCCGGGAGAGCCGGCGATGGGGACCGGGACAGTGGGGATAGGTACAGGAATAAGGACAGGAATAGGGACAGGGTCTGGGACAGTTGCACTTATTCCAGGACACCCCTCATCATGCTGGGTTGTGCTGGCTCAGTCTCAGCCGGATCCTGGCTCGGGAACCCTCAGCATTTTGAAATTGCTGCCAGAAACAGAGCGTTCAGCTGTGACCCCAGCCTTCCCAACAGCGAGACGGAACCGAAATTGGGCACAGAAATCCCAGAAGTGAGAGGGAAGTGTTGAAACACGGTTGTGTTTTGCACAGTCCCCACAAAACACCCTGAGCACCCCTCCTGGCACCCAGAGCTTGGCCTGTAGACTGACCAGCTGCCCCACCCAAGCACCTCCAGCCATCCCTGCCCGGTGGCCACATCCCCTCTCACCTTGCCCGTGGCCCCGTGGGCGATGTGCTGGGCTCCCTCTCGCTGGGCGATCTCCACGAGCTTGCGGGCGATGCAGGGCCGTGCCAGCGCCGTGCCCAGCAGGTACCGATCCTCGTAGAGTGCGTTGGCCTGAACTGCTGGCCAGATGAACTCCTCCACGAACTCCCTGCTGACATCCTCGATGTAAACCTGCCAGCAGAGGGACATTCCTGATGGAAGGGTTCCTACAGGGAAACCTGCTCCTCCGGAGTTTCAGCCAAAAGTCTCTTTGTCTCCCTTTTTCTAAATGCTGCTAAAAGTCTTTGGGGCAAAACCTCTGGAGAATGAATTTCTTATTGGCATGGTCCTCTCTGGGGTGTGTGAGACCCTTGGCTCATCCCTGTGGTGGGGAGCAAGGGGAGGGACACTGTTACCTTCTTGGCCCCCAGTGCCAGCGCTTTCTTTCGTGCTGCCTCAAAATCTTCCTTCTGCCCAATGTTGGCCTGGAAAGCATTAACAAAAAAAAAAAAAAAAAAAAAAAAAAAAAAAAAAAAAAAAAAAAAAAAAAAAGAAAAAAAAGACTCAGTGTGAAACAAGACCACAAAACCCAGTGCAAGCCCAGTTTGGCACTGGGCATCATGCAAGGCATGATAGCCTGTGGTGGCTGGGCTTGAGACACCCAGGATGGGCAGGAGGGGAGTTCCATCCCCTGAGGTGGATATCTGCCCTCCTCTGCCAAGCCCCTTGGCTCTGCCCTGATTCCCTGCCTTCATTAGCAGAGGGTCATTAGCTGGCAGGGACAGGCTGTGGCACACAGGGCTGGCAGCTCAGCAGAGCAGCAGTGAGCTGGACCATGGTTAACCAGTGCGAGCAGGGTCACCACTGCAGCCACACACACACCAGGACCCCAGACCCAGCCCAGCCCCCCCAGGGCAATGGCCCAGCAGCCCCTCCACCACCAGCCCCTGGGGACAGGGTTCCTGTGACGGGAACCTCAGCACAGAGCTCACCAGGTAGGCGACGACGTCGTAGCCCTGCTCCTTCAGCCACACCAGGATGCAGGAGGTGTCGAGCCCCCCGCTGTAGGCAAGGACCACTGTGCCCTTGGACTGAGCCATGGTGCTGCCAAAGCAAAGGAAAAGGGGGTCATGATACCACCAGCCCCTGCCCTTACTGCAGCCATCAGCCACAGCATCAGGAAGGATCACCTGAAGCAAGAGGAGGCTGCAGGGAACCAGGGCAGGGCTGGGGGCAAGAGGAAAAAGCCACAGCACAGTGACCATGGCGGGGTTGTGGCTCTCAGCCAGGGAGGACACCCTGCCCCTGCACCAACCTGTGCTGGCTGGGCAGCAGAGGAGGCCAGGGCAGCCAAGGAGGGCTGTTTTGCTCTTACCTTTTCTCTGTGCTGGCAGCCCCAGCACAGCCTGCCCCACGCTCTGCACGTGCCCTGCAATGCTGGGGAGCCGGGGCTCAGGCGCAGGCGCCCGGCCGTGGCAGAGGCACAGCTCAATGCCTTGCCCTGGCAGGACCCAGCACATCCCGGCTGTCTGCAGAGCTGCCACGGGCTCTG